TATATATATATATATATATATATATATATATATGGCTGGGCAGTATATCGAGTTTGTTTGATATATCGATATATTTTTAATAGGCGTATGGTATGAGGCAATACCGCCTATATCTATATACAGTATACGAATGCATCTGATAGAAGAGGACACAGAGTGAGCTACTGCGGGGAAAGTGCATAATCCAGTTTGTCCTAAACATGAGACATGCTTTATATTAAGGGCTTTAAAATAACAGGTAAGATATAGTTAACACGTACAGTTTAAAGCGGCTCGCCCGTCAGATGCTCTGACAGACACATGTGCTGCTGACAGAGAGGCTGCATGCGCAGTTTAATGTGTTTGAGATGTGCTGTTTTCCTCAGTGCATAACTTACATTTCACAGGTTATATTCTCCATCTGTAAATGTTAGGAAGTCATGGAAATATTTCCATTTTGCTGTCAGGAGCCGTTTGCATGTGATTCTCCGCTAAAGTTCACAAAGTGAACGAGCGCCGCCACACGCATGCGCGCCAAACAGACGGAGCGCAATAGAATAAGAGTGCAATAATTGTGTCATATGTATTTTTAGTGGCCGACCGAAATATCGGCATTTTTCAAATATCGGCATCGCCGATAAGTTTTTCTGTTTGGCCGATGTGTTCGAGGCAGGACTTTTATTTTGACTGTGTGAACTGCTGCGGCAGCGCCTGAGCACACAGTGCTTACATTCTCCCTCTTGTTCGCCGTTGTCATTCAGTTCTGTCTAATACGGATAGAAGTCTATCTAGTATTTAGATAGAACTGTTAAACAAAGGAATTAAAATGTATACAAAAAAGTATTATAACGATTGCTTTAATATTATTAGTAACAGAAAGGCAAACATTATAATACTAAAACAACTGCCCGTGCAGATCATGATTAAAATGCAGTGGTTGCCTCTAATTTCAAATGGCTAGATATTTTTGTTTAAAGCCAGTTTGTTTGTTATATAGCCAATAGCCAATAAATAAATTTGCTTAAAAATCAGTATCAGTATCAGAATCCAATTTGCTAGTAAAAAAAAAGAAAAAAGAAAATCTGAATCGGCGCATCACTAATTAAAATAAGTAAAAGGCCTCAAATTTGAAGTACAATCTGGGATGTCTTTTTCTATCAATTCTTCAATAGGTAGATCTTGTCTTTCATAAAGGCTGAGGTCAGGGATCTTGGGCCTAAAAGGGTTGGTGACAACTGCTCTAAAGAAACAGGATTCCCTAAATTATCGTCATTGATATCGTTATCGCAATAAATATCAGAAATTATCGTGATATATTTTAAAGCCCATATCGGCCATCCCTAGTGCTGTATGTAAAATGAGTGTTACCTTGGCTTTATTTGAAAAAACATGATTCCCAATGCACACAAACTTCCCAGAATACTGAGTGCCCTGTTGGTTACAGTGTTTACTTCCTTTTTAATTATATTTTTACTAAATATTTATTTATTTGTGAAAAATACTTTGTCTTCTAGAGTATAAGTATGTTTATTTGACACGTCTATTTTTTAATCCATTTTCAAATTATTTCAAATTTCTTAAATATGAATTAAAATAAATAAAATGATGTCGGCTTTATATCGGCCATCGGCCACCCTGCTTTCCAAGATATCGGCATCGGTATCGGCTGTCAAAAAACACATATCGGTCGACCACTAGTCATTTTATCCCCTTTTTTATAAATAATGGATAGCATAGCCTACTTTCACTATATTTGCCTTCATTGCCTTTAAAATAAACATTGTTTTATTGGACAAAATTGGGCAGGATGTTAAAAAATATATAATATATATATAAATAGATAGAAAAAAATCCAAATAGAAAATGTAGAGAATACCGAGATATATACTGTATATCGCATTTCAGCCAAAAAAATACAGAGATATGAGTTTTTGGCCATATCGCCCAGCCCTACCAGGAATAACATTTGTCATAATGACAAAACACCTCAAGCATCAATATGAGAATAATTTTCTGGCATTTCACTTCTCTCTGCATTGATTCTTTACGCAAGAGTTATGCAAATAAACCAACTATGGGAAATTCAAGAAAAAAGAAAAAAAATCATAAGATAGTCATTCAAATGAGGAAGAAAAACCAGAGAATTTCTAGCAAGACTAAAATAATCTTCCTAAACGTATACAGTGTAAATCAACCTCAGATTTCAGTCATTTGAATTATCACTGCCAGGTCAAAAGTGCTTAGGTTTGAGAGCTGGAATTTTTTGTGGTTTTAGTGGTGGTGTGGAGGATCAGGGTTTGAGTTCTGTGTCTAGAGTGTGAGAAGAATAATGCTATGAGTTCTGGCCATCATCCAGATCTGCTTCTGGTTAACATTCTGCAAAACTCCATTCTCCACTCCTCTCCCTTCCGTTAAAATGGACATTAATCGGACTAATCATTCAGAACAGAAAGAGACCATAGTGTCACTTTAGCCACAGTTATGCTGCTTAAGCATTTAGTTGGGTTACATCAAACAAAAATAGCTCTTGCCAAAGATGTATGTGCTCGTGTTTTTATGCATCAAACCACATATGACAAGGAAGTAGCACACAAGTTTGACTGCTTTTCAACAGCAATGACTATGTTCCATAACCTGATAACCTGAAAAACACATCGCTAAGGAAAAAAAAAGTTATAAGAATACTGGCTGTGTATGGGTTCAATTTAATACACTTTGTTTAAATCTCAACTGCTTTCTGTGCCATTAGCATCACCAAACAGAAGAGCAAAGATACTGACTGTTGACAAACATTTCCACACAAACCAAACTCAGATGAATCAAATGGAAACTCGTCAAATGGATTTGGGTCCCCAGAAGCTCATGCGTGAAAGTGCCCTTAGAATCTGTATTGTATCATGTACAATAAATATACAGATCAAGCCTTTTTAGAAGTTGCTGGTCACATCACTTGAAAAGAAATGTCACAGCTGGCACAAAAGACAGCGCAGACCAAAACTGCAGAATAAGAGAGTTTTGAGTGATATGTTAAAGGAGCCATAGGGGGCTCTAAATGCTCATACTGCGGCTGTGTGAAAGATGCAGCCACGCCAGACAATTACAAACTACTGTGTGCAGGCCTTCATCCAGATCTGGGCTTCCTGCCATGTTTGCAATTATGAACCATACCCCAGTGAAAACCTTAAACAGCCTTAAATATTCAGGGGACATTTGTGTGCTGCAGCTATAAATCCAATCTCTTGATGAAATGGTGGTGTAAAATCTGGTCACTAGTTACGAAAATGGAATAAGTGGCGAGTGGGTATTTTGAGAGAGGCACGTGGGTTTGGCATCAGCATGAATGGATCTAGTTAAGAGGAAAGAGCGTTCGTTAAAATTATGCACCCTGAGATCCAACGAAACCAAGCAACTCTGGTGACCAAATATTAATCTAAAGGTTAACTATATACAGCTTCTGTGAGCAACTATCTAAACAGCAGCTTTAAATGGTAGACAGGTAGAGGGTTTGAGACATAAGTATTTTGAATTCACCGGCTTATTCGCATCATAGTGCATCAAGCTGCAGTACTTGGGCAGCCAATGCAGGTTTGAGTCCAGTTAGCAAAATTTCCTGATGCCTCAATGTGGCAAAAAGGCTGAAAATAACATTCATGGAAAAAAAGAAATAAATAAATAGCTCACTCACTTTGCTCAGAGTCCGAGTCTGGCATTGCGGACCCAGGGGCCACCGGTAGAGGCCTTGGGGGCCTTGGTTTGGGAGTTGGTGGTGAAATCTTTTTCTTGCCGATGAACTCCACGTACGTACCAGGAAAGTCCCCCTTTTCCTGAGTGCTTTCATTAAAGCCAGGCAGCCATCCGATTTCATCTGGTCTCTCCTCCATCCCCTCAGTGTAACCAACTGAAACTAGTGCACCTTTATTGACTGTAAGAATGTCCCCTACATGCAGGTCAATATCCTCCTCCCTCTCTTTCTTATAGTTATACAGTGCTCTGTACTGATATCCTTCTGCACTCATTTTGATGGTGTCGTCTCAAACTTTTGGTGTCACAAAAATTATAATGATTGCTCACAAAGGTTCTTTGAACCAATATTTGGATGAGAGGCAAGAGTCAAAAAATTATTATTCTCCCCCCCCTCCCCAAAGACTGAGTGGATTATGTGAAACTAATAGTCCAATGATTGGGTGCACCTTCAAGGTGCTTTATACACACTCTTCCCATCTGTGTAAGGCCTTATCCTGTGAATCTCACAGAGTAACTCGAACCTGCAACACAGAAGAGAAGCCCTTTTACACACGCCATACAAAAAGCACTTCAACTACACACAGACACGACTTCCATTGGAAAAACACTGTAAATCTACTTGTTACACATTATGTGCTCAAATAAAAACAAACACAAAAAACTAAAAAGTGTGCAGCTGTTTATTGATGTAATTGTTGTAGTAGCTTAATAGTATAAACAACAACAGGCTATACATTTGCTGCAGCTTTAGAGTAAATGCTTGGTGTTTTTATAATTTTTTTAGCAAAATTTATGGCATGACTATTTTTCTTTCTCAGTCATGAAACAATAAACTTCTTTAAAAACTGTAAACACCATATGCCTAAAAACTGTCAAGCCGACTGAGAAAGCGTCAAAAGGATAAAACAACACACAAATGTAGATACATAACACACTGTGTGGACAAGTGCGAATAAAAGAACAAATGGCGCAGAAGAAACTCCAAAGAGTCGCAAAGCTGACCGAGCAAAAACTCCCGATTGAGTTTCATGTAACAGATTACGCTTAATGGGCCCTACATTAAGATAGAACGTAAACAATTTAGCTAAGCATAAACTAACCCAGTGTGAAGTAAATAAATACAAATGCAATTAAAGTGCAACTACATAGTTTTAAAGTGCACTATTAAGACTGAACACCACAACCAAATCAGATACAAATCACACACCATTGATGCATTAAAATTATATAGATTTACATTAATCTTGCGTGGTCGGGTTTAGCATATTTGCTAACGTTAACCTTAAATAATTTAACAGATGATTATTAGAGCAAAACATATAAACGTATACGCAAAATAATCTTAGAAAGAGTACAACTTCAATTACGACGCACAGTGGCGGTAGAAAATAAATCTCCAGTGTCAACGTAAAGTAAGCAGAGAGCCTGTAATAGAATGCAGTTGGGACACGCTGTACGTTACTGGAACAATCGACACAGTAAAAGCGGTCCCGCTAAACCTCCCCTAATATCAACATTACAATACATACCAATCCTAAATGCATTTGATATATTTCATAAAACATGCATACTTACCGGGGAATGGTGAAAACAGAGAGAAACTGAAGTATATCTGCGAACTTCAGTAAGTTGTAAGGGGCCCCGTTCATGAAAGCCAGGGCCGAGAAAATCTCCTTCGCTTCCCGTAAACTCCAGTTTACGCAGCTCTCCAGCAAATTCCCCGACCACACCCGCTATAAAACACACCTTATACGACGCGTTTTCGGGGAAGTAACATCCAGTTGTAGGATAAATTACAACACTTTAAATTGGCGTTTTTAAATACTTTAACTTAATGATCGAGCTCGTTTCCCGACAGTAAAGCCGACTCCGCCCGACTCACTGCACACACTGAATACTCTCAATGGCAGGAACGCCAGAATGCAAGCCACGCCTTCTGGGTTTCGTCAGCGCCGGTCCCCCTTTCAGGCCCCGCCTCTCTAGTTAATATGTATAATCTTATACAACTGTATATGCCAAACGGCTGGACGTGCCTGGTTGCGCCCGCGCCAGTCGGTCATAGTGGAGTTGCATAATTTCCACACGTGGGGTGTTTCTAGAGCAATATTTTAGCTGCGATAACCATTAGAAATTAAACAATAGCTGTTATCTTAAAGGGGTCATATGATGCGATTTCAATTTTTCCTTTCTCTTTGAAGTGTTACAAGCTCTTGGTGCATAAAGAAGATCTGTAAAGTTGCTGTTTGTCATTTCTCCGATCACAAATGCAGACATGGTTTTATGTTTACGCGGCACGATGCGAAGCGTAAAAATACAGCATAAATCATTATAATCCGTAATTATGTCCCACTGGATGCCAGTGTCATGAAACCGGTCTATGAACTTCCGTTCCCTCACCACCAGAGGTCACCCGCTCACTACATGGACTCTCACACTACACAGACTGTTACACTATGCCCTGGACTACATTTCCCATCATCCATTGCACTGATTGCACACAGCTGTAACCAATTCACAATATGGTAAGGGGCGTAACATTTCCGTCACACGCTTGAGGTATTCAGCCAATCAGAGCACACCTCGCTTTTTAGACCGATGAGCTTTGTAAAAAAAGGTGGGGCATAGAGGAGAAACAATAATGTACAGTATGTGGAAAATAATGTCTTTTTTTTAACCTTAAACCGCATAAACACATTTCATCACACCAAATACACAAAATAATGTTCTTTTTAGCAACATCATATGACCCCTTTAATGCTTGGAAATCATAATGTAGCTAAAATGTGGATCTTGGTTCTGACAAAAAAGTTACTAGATTGGTCCATGAAAAACGATAACACATGATACTGTAAGTGTGGTACAAGTCTCTTTAGCTGGTAGAAATGCCATAATATATCATTATGTGTTTGACTGCCAATTGATGTCCAATGTAAAATCTTGGTGGTGAATTAAAACCAGATGAGAACCACTTGGTTATCTGACATTATACCAAGGTAATACACGTGAAATTTTATGGTATGGTTTATGTTCTTGATTGTGGTCAAAATTTTACGTACACTTTGCAGTATGTAAAATGTTAATTATTTTACCAAAATAAAAGGTATAATAAAAAATGCATGTAATTTTTTTTATTTAGTACTGACCCGAATAAGATATTTCACATAAAATACGTTTACATATAGTCCACAAGAGAAAATAATAGTTGAATTTATAAAAATGACTCCGTTTAAAAGTTTACATATAGGCCTACGCTTGATTGTTAATACTTTGTTGTTACCTGGATGATCCACATTCAACACAGCTGATTTATTTTTTATTTTTTTGTGATAGTTGTTCAAAAATAGTTGTCCTTGTTTGTCCTGAACAGTTAAACTGCCCTGCTGTTCTTAAATAAGTTAAATTTACCCTGATCTTCTAATTCAAAAAGTTTACACCCCTGGCTCTTAATGCATCGTGTTTCCTTCTGGAGCATCAGTGAGTGTTTGAACTTTTTGTAATAGTTGCATGTAAGTCCCTCAGTTGTCCTCAGTGTGAAAAGATGGATCTCAAAATCATACATTGTTTGAAGGGGTTCAAATAAAAGATGCTGGAAAACCAAAGAATTTGTGGGATCTGAAGGATTTTTCTGAAGAACAGCAGGCAGTTTAACTGTTCAGGACAAACAACGGACTCATGAACACATATATATATAAAAAAAAAACAGCTTTGGATCATGCAGGTAACAACACAGTATTAACAATCAAGTGTATGTAAACTTTTGAAAAAGGTCATTTTTATAAATTCAGCTATTATTTTCTCTTGTCGACTATATGTAAATGTCTTTTATGTGAAATATTCAGGTCAGAACTAAATAAAAAATAACATGCATTTTGTATGATCCCTCTTATTTTGGTAAAATAATTAACATTAACAACTTAAGAAGTGTATGTAAATTTTTGACCACAACTGTGAATAACAAGGTGCATGAGTATGGTAATCATTCATTACCATGGCAAAGAGTGCCATAACTTTGGCACATTTTTTGTGTGTATTATCGAAAAAGCCATTCCACATGATTCACATTTTTAAATAGTTTATTTTCCAACGGTTTTGTTAACATGTTCGCTGCATGCAGTCTATGATGCGTAAAGAAAGATTGTAAGCATAAGAGTCTCATGCAACATTTTCTCTCTAACACCCTGTTCCGTTTGCCTAATTAAATCAAGCTGAATTTCTTTCACAGTCACCCTGTTTCGCAGTACTGGAACACTTAGCATCCTCAGAAGAGAGCAGGAAATGTCCTCAGTGTATCACTGTGCACTAAGGACAGTGTGCTAAGGAGGACGCTGTGAAGCAGTGATATTGCAAACAAAAGAAGGAAAAAAAATAACTGGGGCACATTCATCTTAATTTAGTCACATTTTCCTCATAAAATACACAGTAATGAATTTCAAGGAAAAGACAAGAAATTGAATTAAAGTGCAATAAAATTTAGTATACCATGCGTTGTCTGTGAAAACAGATACATGCAATGTGATCTTATCACCTGATTTCAACTTTGATTCTAAGAAAACTTTCTTTCTTTCTTTCTTTCTTTCTTTCTTTCTTTCTTAAAACTGAATAAACTTAGAGCAAAATAAAAAAAGTTAATAATTGTTATTAATAAGTTTTAATTAATGCATAAGTGCATTTGTAAGCACTAATAAATGATTCTTTTCTTTTCTTTTTTATAAATATATATTTTTTTAAATAAAATAACTACATGAAGAAAAAAATAACTCTACTTTTTTAGTTGTCTAATCTACTTTTAGACAACTTCTAGTAGATGTTAATTTTTCTCTGAAAAGTATAAGAAATTATATTTCCTTCAGTCTTTTGAGGACAAGTTTTGTGCAACATCCACAAAATCTAAAGTATGCTCCAAGATAAATGGTCATATTCAAAGCAGGGGCCATTTCCTCTGTTCCTTATTCCCTTTCAGTCAGGATTTAATGTGGAGTACACTGGACTCCTTTAGAATGGCCAATCCCAGGCACATGACTGTGAATGTGGGTGGCCTGATCATGGTGGAGGTTAACTTGCAGAAATCCTCTGGTGTGAGTAGCTTACCATCCAAAGGACACAGAGAGAGCTCACAGCATTCTGTGCTATAGAATAATTTTAACACTGTGAAAGAATTCCAACCAACGTTATTGTGACATTAGAATGTAAATCAATAGCTTGATCAGACAATACTGATGTGAAAGAAAGTTCTGAATTTAGAATTATCTTTAATCCTCCAGAAATCTGATCATAAATAAATAAATAGATGAATTATCTTGAATCCTCCAGAAATCTGATCATAAATAAATAAATAGATGAAGATGTGCTTAGTAATGTTTTCTGAGTAACCGCTTTGATGCAAGTGTCCCCAGATTTGAAACCTGTGTGAACAAAATTGTGAACAAAATTACTACTCTATATCAATGGCTTCAGAAATGGTCACTTTATTTATTTTTTAATCAAATGTGTATCGCACCTGCATACCTCTGCTATTCTGTTTGAATAGCTGTGGTTTCCTCCTTGGTGCATTCCTATGCACACCACCTTTCTACAGTGTTTTCTGGTGGTGAATGATGAATTCATGGAAACTAATGTTAACTAGTGTGAGAAATGCCAGCACAATCTATTGGATTATTACACTGCTCATTCTTTTTGAGTTACTTAGATAAATGTATGATAAGATTAGCAATGGTTTTTGTACATATTCTAGGACCAATGATGTATGGAAACCACTCTCTTCGATAAGGGCATGATACACACAATATAAGCATTCCACTAAATTCTTCAGATCAAATATGTGCTTCTTTTACAGTAAGTGGTCTCAAACACACAACTGAAAATACTAATCATTTTAGATGACTAAATGTTGATACAAAACAAAGTGGGATGAGTTTTATGCAAAAGTGTACAGTAATACTGTTACTGACAGTACGAGCAGTAGCGGTGTAAATATATTTTTTTGTATTTATAAAACATAATAAAAACTCTTTTTTTTGACAAATGGTTGTGGAAAATAAGCATTACAACAGCATTAATTGAAGGGATGTCAGAATTTAAAGGGGTCATATGATGTTGGTAAAAAACCGTCAATAATAAAAAACATTAAAGGGCATGATGCTGCTAAAAAGAACATTATTTTGTGTATTTGGTGTAATGAGATGTGATTATGCAGTTTAAGGTTCAAAAAACACATTATTTTCCACATAATATACATTATTGTTTCTCCTCTATGCCCCACCTTTTTTGAAACGCGTCGATTTTTACAAAGCTCATCGTTCTGAAAAGCGAGGTGTGCTCTGATTGGCCAGCTATCCAGTGTGTTGTGATTGGCTGAATACCTCAAGTGTGTGACGGAAATGTTATGCCCCTTACCATACTGTGTTTCCATGCGTCCTGGCGCGACGAGACGAAACCAATAAAACACATTACAAAGGAGGCATTTGTTGCATCCAGTGGGGACATAATTACTGATTATAATGACTTATACTGTGTTTTTATGCTTTGTGTTGCGTATTGCGCCGCGTAAACATAAAACCACAACAAGCGCTACTCTACACTGCTTAAAACTAGCGTTTGAATCATCAGTGGCACATTCTTTAAATATAAAAAATGTACTTACAGGCTGTGAGTCAGAAGCAGCAGACTGTCCTTGCAAAGTTGGAACTGCCCCACTTTATAGAAACATTATGTCCTCTTTTGGAAGGCCAAACAAATTATTTTAGCTTTCACAATGAAACACACAGCGGCTTGAGTGAGCGGCGCCCGTCGGATTCGACGAAGGAGGCTTGCGGCAACCACATGTGACGACCCCGGGCTGGACTCCGCTTCATCCACGGTGAAAGCCGATCCGGCGATTGACAGCACAAAGTTGATGTATT